AAGCAAGAACATCATAGGTATAATAATAGGAAACACGGACAATGATCCTGTAATTGCCGTATCTTATTTCCCGTTTTAAATAGGATTTTTTTTTTTTTTTTTTTTTTTTCAATTTGGTGTCTAAGATCGGGCTGAACTATGTACATTTGTGATCAACTCTACTTGGCTCATTTTATGTGCTTTTTTAGGGTGACAACGCCGAAGCTGAAAGTGTGGCAAGCCACGACACAGGTGCCTAATAACAACTCGTTGATATATTTGTTTATCTGCTCACTCATTTATTCGACAGTTTATATATTTAGTTAGTTACAGTTGTTTAAAAAGATGAACTTAACACCGTATTAAACTACTTACTGAAGTTTCGGTTGAGAAATTCTGATCGAGTGCATCATGGTTAGCGTAATACTTCCAGAAATTCTCTTTGAAAATCAGTAAATATAGGTAGTATGACTTTGGAGGTGGTTTGGGAGAATTCTACACGAGAACTCATCGCTTTAACTCGGATACATCAAGCCATTTTTTTATATAAAATGTTCGTGCGTTAAAATTAAAGTACTGGCTATGAAATATCAGCTACCACATTTATTGATATAGTTTATGTAGGCTAGCCGTCAGAATCTCATCAAATGAATGTTTATTAATGATATATTAGCAAACATTATGAACGCTAGCATATGTCATTATATATTGGATGTAATTTGATGTGTTTTCCGTTATATTATTTTCTCCTCGACAAAGACTGAAAATCATGCAATCAAATTCTTTGCATTTATCCTTTTTGGGGTTTGTTCAAACATTTTCTGCTGTAGTAATTCCAAAGTAATAATTTAACATGAAAATATCAGCTGTCCTATATTTGATATATTAATGCATGTTAGCAACCAAAGTTTCTTTAAATGACTGTGTATACAATTATTTTGACATATTTTTCAGGTGGCGATGAAAACGATGATGATGACTCATGCAGTGAGGTGTTTTAAAGTACGTTTAAATCCGTCTTGAAATTTAATTTAACTTTATATTGGAAATAAAAGAAATATTTTCTAGTAGGTTGTGAATGTCGTCATACCCGACGGCCAGGCAAATATTGGCCGTCAAATTATTTTTCCATTCGTTAGGGTTAGGCTGGGTAAGATTTTGCGTGACTATAGCGATCTGGTGTCGACTGCCCGGAACGTAAATGTGTGAAACAATACAATATTGCCGAGTAGGCAGTTGCGCGCAAACACCACTGAACGACACTGATTCACTTGTTTGTAAGTGGTCAAGTAATCTCTAGATAATCGCCAACTATAGCACTTATTATATGTTATTATTATCCTGTGATGAATCGTTTGGCCTTGTGGCCCATATGAATGTCTTTGCCGCTCTTCTGAAGTCTTGCAGAAACACCAAATAGATCAAAGGACTAAGGCTTGAATTTAATACTTTGAGGATGTGCATTAGAAAAAACTGCAAGTCTTTGCATTCTTCGCTTAATCCATATGTGATAGATGGATCTATGCTTTTTATGCTGTCTTCAACAAAGTCAGGTAGGTAGCATATTGAATACACCAGCAATGAACACAGTACCATTCTAACAGCGCTCATTATGCGTCTTGCTCGACGCCTTCTCTGCTCATCTGAAAGATTTTCTTGGATAGCGTTAGAATTGGAAAGTCTTACAGAGGTTACTACACTTATGATGAACACAGATATATACAAGAAAACTAGGCTCATCGATTTCAAGAAGTAAAACCCATCAAAAACCTTTTCGGCGTTACTCAGGGTATGAGAACACCTAAACGGCAAGCCTGGTGCAGACTGTGTAGCATAACCAAACACAAGATTAAAGCCGGACAATGCCATTGACACCAGCCAAGCAATACAGACTAGTTTTAGCTTTGAGGAGGTCTTTTTGCCAATGACGACTTTCGTTGCTCGATAACGTTCAATGCTAATAATCAGTAGTGTTGTCAATGTTAGCAATTCTGCGGTGTTTTTAACGAAGTCGACTGATTTACAAACTATGATTGCTAGTACTTCTGGCGTTTTACTTGGGATGAAAATTATACTGGTCTCTGTAGTATACAACACTGCTATGAGGATATCAGAAACCGCCATGTTGATGATCAAGTAGTGAAGGTTCTTTCTCTTTGTGTACTTGACCGCCAGTATGATGATGAAAATGTTTCCGATAACTCCCAAGCCACCAAAAAACATGAAGGATGTGTCCTTACCATAATCAAATACATGTTTGTTGGGGATACAGGAGCTGGTTTTGTGTGTGGAATTGGTGTCGTTCATGATTCTCTCACAAATTGCAGGTCTTCAATTGAGAGTAATGGGTCAAAGTGGACTGCTTTATGTTTAAAACTTTAATTGAGATCAATTCATGTCACCTCTTTGCAACTCTCTTCCTGTGTCGTTATTAGTAGTTTGAATGATTTTACTATGCTGAGACGTCTTCTTTGACAGACTATTAAGGAAAATAGAATAACTTTTAATTGTCTCTCTTTTTGTACTGCGAAAAGTAAAATAATTCAAAATTAAATTTAATCATTACGATCACATCTTCCATGCCAGATAACTTGGTTGATTTCTTCAAGCAACCAATCGAAAGTCTCTTAAATGAAAAACGATCTAAGCGGAAATGAAAAAGTGGTGAAACTATATGACCTATTTCCTCTTATAGTCCTTCATGGCTCAAGCTTATGCAAAAACAAAATATTTGTTTGAAGATGTTGGTTGACTGGGAACAGAAACGAAAAACCGCTGAAGCTGTCCTTATAAAAGAACATAATCCTGATCTTAATGAGCAAGGACAATCAGTTCCTTTGAAATTATTGAACTGAACGATAACATGCAATCTCTAGAGAATATTGAATATTGTAATTTATTTAAATTTGTTAACTTTATAGTCAGGTTAATACACTGATTATGGACGATGGATGTCGTCCGAAATATTTGTATTAAGAAACTTCTTGTTATTCTCTTCGTCTATAAAATATTTGTTGCTGTTTCTCAAAAGACAAATTGGTTGAAATATTTTCAAGTATAACTGTCCAAATACACAACTAAATCAATAAGACAGGTCTCTTTCGATAACTAGAACGATATTTAACTCAATATCTAAACTTTGGGGCTTTTAAGAAAAAAAAATGTTAATTTTCCTTTCAGAGTTGCCACAAAACAGTATCCAGAAGAGAACCTTGAAAGCTGTTTGTCGTCCTAACGTTCAAAAAGAAGCCAGTCAGAATCATTCTAAAGTCTCTCAAAGGAGGCGGGGTAAATCCTTACTTGGATTAAAAACATTCCTGTCAAATAAAGTACTTATATCATACAGTTAAGTCGTATATCTCGTACCTTTTCTTAATGAGGTTCTTGATAAAATGCTGTTTTATCTCGATATCGATTTCTTTTTCTGTCTGCAATAGCGGTCTAAATTACTAAAAACAAGAATTCAAGAATTCAATTCTTATTTCGAAGATGAATTGAAAGTTATTATAAAGTAACTTTAGGCGGTTTTCACTTTAGCAAATTGAGCACGGTTTTGACGCAATCATGACGTCGCCATCAGATGCTCAAAACTCATGTGTACTTAAGAGTGCAGCGTTTTTTAACGCACACTTTAAAATCACTCTCACTCTCATTATCATTAGCTAGTAGTAGTTGGAAACATGGTAGAAGTAACTGGAAATAAGGTAGAAGTAACTGGAAATAATGTAGAAGTAACTTGAAAAAGGTAGAAGTAACTGGAAATAAGGTAGAATACAAGGTACGAGTACTTCCTCTGGTTTCAAGTTACTTCACGTGGTACAAATTACAAACAGGGATTGGCTGAATACCTCATGAATAATTAATGAGTTTTTGAAATACAATTACAAGTAAATCAGCCCTTGCAATTAGTCTGGGACTATTCGAGGCGAGGGCGATAAGAAAAAAAAAACGACTTCTTACATTAGATAGCTAGTGTAAATAACAAAAGTTCACAGGTTTACAAGGAAAGCAAAAAGTGAGCGATAAGAGGAAGAGTATGTAGATGAAAAAATTTATTCAATAAATATTGAGCACGCATGCAACATGTGATGGCTGTAGCACAGTCTCTCTTCTATTGACAGACTGTATTAAGGAAATCATATGCAATTAAGAATTTACACAGTGGGTGGGTAAATATACTGTGACATCGTAATAAGATACGGATATTGTTTGTTAGGTTTGAAGCTCCTCTCCTCTTAGCTAGAATCCTGGACAAAAACGTTGAGAATAACTGCACCGCTCAGTTCGACAGAACATGCTATCTACCACACCTCACCCCTCCCCCTGCAATGAAGTTTTGTTAACGGTCAAAGAGAATCCTGCAGGTTTCTATACTCTCTAAAACACAACTGAGCGAAGGGGGTCCGAGAGAAGGCAGGAAAAATAGAAAGTATACCGCGGAGACTTTCCAACATTCAACAATTTTTAAGATACTCAACTCTTTTTGTCCAGGATTGTAGGTTCGATTCTCTCAGCTACAAATAAGAAGTGGTGCCGGTGTTCAAATTTGAGTTAACTGGAGCTTCTTCCTTAAATATATATTGTGCACTCACAACACCTGTTATTCTTCTTGCGTTAAATCGTTTAATGGTACATATCAATTTCTTTGCAGCTCTTTTAAAATCATTCAGAAAAACCAAATAGATAAACGGACTAAGGCAAGAATTCACTACTTTAAGAAAGTGCAGTACAAATTCTAGCACCTTTTGGCATTTTTCACTCAGTCCCTTTGTGATATCTGGATTGATGCTTTTTGTGACATCCTCAAGAAAGTCGGGTAGATAGCATATTGAGTACAAAAACAAGGAACATAGTACCATTCTAACAGCGCTAATCATGCGCCTCGCTCGACGTCTTCTCTGCCCATCAGAAAGATTAGCTTGGATAGGGTTCGACTTGGAAAGTCTTATAGAGGTTACTACACTGATGATGAACACAGACGAATATAGCAAAACTAAACAAATGCACTTTGTAAGGTATAAAGCAGCTTCAACCTTTGATATTTGACCACTGTGAGAACAAAAAAACGACATGTCTGTGGCGGAACGTACTGCATTTCCAAATATAAGACCAAAGCTACACGAAAGCATTGAGAGTAGCCAAGCAATACAGATTAGTTTCAGCTTCGAGTAAGTTTGGGTGCCAAACATGAGTTGTGTAGCTCTATGGCGTTCGATACTGATAATCAATAGCGTTGTTAAGGTTATCAACTCTGATATGCTTCTTAGAAAGTCGACTACTTTACAGAAAATGTTTGCCAGTGCTACGGGCGCTTTACTTGGGAGCGAAATTTTAGTCATTTGTGGAGTGTGCAAGACTGCAATAAGGATATCGGAAACCGCCATGTTGATTATCAGACAATGAAGGTTCTTTCTCTCTGTATACTTGGCAGCGAGTATGATGATGAAGATGTTTCCAATAACTCCAAATCCACCAAAAACAATGTACAACGTATCTGTAACATTTTCAAATGTACGATTGTTTTGGGTGCAGAGGCTATTTTCTAGTGAAAAGTTCGTTTTGTTCATTGCTCTGTTCGAAGTGTTGTTTGTTTTGATCGCTTTTTGCAGTTATTTAGTCAATAACAGTACCACCCCTAACTTGCTAGCACTTTTTTTTAATTATATAGTAATTTTCAAAAATCAATAAAAAATTGATTAATTAATGCCGCCTATCCGACGCGTGCTTTCTTTGTTGTTATTTTTAACTGTGGGGTAACTTCAGGTTGATTTATATAACATTACTCTCCTAGGGATTATTGGTCTTTTATGACTTAATGAACTCATGTTTATATGACAAAGTCGCAGATGTTTAAGCAACTGTCGAAAAGGGGAATTCGAGGCTGTAAAAAAAATAACAAGATAACATTTTTCCTTAACAGAACTATACTTCAAAAGTAAATAACTATAAAATCAAGTTTTACTTACTTAGGATCATATCTTTTTTATTATACTTGACATTAATTGGATTTATTCAAGTAGACAATCCGAACTCTTGATTTAATTAAAGTCAAACTCAGCGGATCTGGCAACCTGCTGCAAAAAATATACAGCGGCCAACTTGAGGCCGCATCGTATAAATTCGTTCGAAATTTAGCGCATGCACAATTTGTCGATCTATTTTTGTTCAAGAGTCAAAGAGCATTGCACGGCTCTGATTTCCACAAATGTCGTTTATTTAACAAAAAAAAAATTCGAAAAAAAAAATTCGTTATTTTTTTTTCGTGCTCAGTTATATATCCAGATGAGGTAAAATGATGAGAACAAAAAGTATGCCACAAGACAACGTCGAGTGGTGTGTCTGCACAACAAAACGTGTGCATTTTTTCTGACCAATCAGAGCTCTCGTAAAATTAAATAGTGTAAATCAAGTGTGCGTGTGTGTGTGCTTTATAACACACGGTTGTCGGTCAATCCAAGAGCACGTACTATACCAAATATTGTATAGTCAATGGGATCTCAATGACAGGAATTCGCACTAGAGAGTTCTAGAGTAAGAAATATATATTTTTTAGTCAAAATGTACATCATTCGATAATCTGCTGCTTTTCAAGAGTGTGCCAATCTGGCAGAAGAAATATATTAGTTATGAAGGGATAATTAAAACCTAAAACACAGTCTGAATCATTCCTAGAAATAAGTGGCTTAAATTGCATTAACTTATTTAATATTCCAAAGAACAAGAAAACTATTAGCGTTCAAACCCTTTACCAATTATAAACAATTTGATCGGTTTCCTTTGATTGTAAAACTCCGCTTATGACAAATAATTCTGGAATTAGATTTCTCAGATAAGATGGGTTATACGACAGCTGGTGTTGCAGCTAGATGTTGATTAAGGTTACTGCTCCCCTTGGCTGGAGTTTTCAAATTATCAAGTTGAAAAAATTATTTAGCGTCTCGTATGATGAGAACCAATGCACATTATGGTATATTAAAGCTGTATGACTGAAGAATAAGTCTATGATGTTGGTTTAACAAAATAGTTAATAGATTACTTATGAAAAATCATTAAGTTTAAGTCGTGATTTTAACTTTGAAAAGCTATTTCGTAAAATGTTTGCATTAAAACCTCGCTTTTTCAATGGATATCGTTTGGGCCATAGTGGGTTAAAAAAACCGTGTAAGCGTTTTTGGATTTAGGTTTTTCATTTGAAGTTATGGCGTCAAATATCAAATTTCACATCAAGAATTCATACTTTCAAATTCAAATAACACTAACTCCGCAAATAAAAAAAAACTGACGCTCACACGGTTTTTAAGTTCAATATATAGTGACCAATATACCGTACAAATTTTGTTGAAAAAATGAATACTTTTTTTTGGTTTAAATTTTTATAGATTTCGACTTGATTTTTGATAATTAATATGCAATTAAGTACTTATTAAATATTATTACAAACCAATGTCATCGATTTTTAAATTATTGTATTAGCTTCAAAACGATATATAATATGCTTAGGTATTATTAATGAAGCAAAGATATGATTTCTTTTTTCACAGTTAGCACCCCGCGAAGAGGAGCAGTAACCTTAAGCAGTCGATGAAAGATAGGGAAAAAAACCCTAAAAAATGGTGGTAATTGCGGAGCTCAAGTGTCGCCCATGAAAGAGTTATTATTATTATTTTTTTATTTATTTATATTTTTTTTTGCTTTCATATAGTTAAAATGAAAAATTAAATGTGCAATGTTGTTTTAAAAAATTTTTTAATCATCTATTAAAAGCACAATAGATCTCATATATACAGCTAAGATCAATCACGACTCACGTTATGAATTTACATAATGAAAGTGCTTACATCAAGGCGCTGAAATTCTACTTTCAGTAATACTATTGTGAATAATCACAAAATTCTGAAAAAAGATTTTCGTGACGTTTACACTAGTCCCGAAGTCTCAACGGGTTTTCTCTAGAGAACGTGATGTCTAAGATCTCTTCGAGAAGCAGGACGTACATCCCATAGATCGCATAGTCAAAGGAGACCACTCTTAGAGTCGTGTCTCTTCTACTTCTTGTGAGCGTCTCGATAGAACTCCCATTGCAGCTCGTCTGAAGTCAGACAAAAATACCAAGTACACCAAGGGACTAAAACAGGAATTAGCGATTTTGGGGATATCCAGTATAAAACTCAACAGCTCTCGGCATTTATCTGTTAATCTGCCAACATTAATTTGTTCTGTACTCTTTAGGATATCTTCAATAAAGTCAGGCAGATAGCATATTGAGTACAGTAACAATGAGCACAGAACCATTCTAACAGCGCTAATCATTCGTCTTGCTCGACGCCTTCTCTGAACATCGGAAATATTGGCTTCGAT